TCTCCCACCTCCTACCCCCACTCAGCTCCCACCCATCTGCGGCCACTGAGGGAGCGGGTGAAGCTGGAGCAGGAGGGAAGGCTGGAGGCAGCTGAGAGCGGCAGGTAAAGACCAGCCAGGAGCTGAACCAACGGGGGAGGCACGGGTTGGCCTTGAGTCTGGGGCTGCTTCTGTGGGAGCAGCTCTGCTGTTTGCTTTTTTATCCCTCTCGTTTGTTTCCCCGGGTTAAACTGTGTTTTTAAACTCCCCCATCACCATGAACTGAGACACTCTGATCCATTCTTTAGGGCCTAAATGGTTTGACTTCAACTTCAGCTGTTATATGGGCTCCTCAGATCTCTCTGTGTACAGAGATGTGACGGTCCCGTCCTTCCACTGCACCACCACGTCTCCTGGTCTCTGATCCTGGGGCACCGGCTCCTCCTTTTGTGGTTCAGCTGGGCTGGATTCCTGCAGCGGCATCAGGGCTTGTTTGGCTTCCAGCTCAGCCTGCTCAGCGCTTCGCACGGCTTCTCTGTACACGTGGATCTTCTTTTTTCTGCAGGGAAGGCAGAGAAAAGCTCCAGCCCGTGTCTTGGAGCTGGTGTCCAACGCCCTGGTGATGGTTCCAACCATCTTGTCACACCATGGCCATGGGAGCACGTCAGCTGCTTAGGGGTGAACCCCGCCAGCTGCACTGTGTCGTGGAAGTGAAGTGTTTGAGTCCCCACAGCCACGGGGTTTACGCTTGGAGAACGTCACCCAAAGCGAGGCAGGAACACCCAACAAGCCCTTGTTAAAATGAGTGCGTGGCAGGCTCGTAACTCTTACTCTTTTTCTCTCATTTTAACTCTTTTTCTCTCATTAACTCTTTTTCTCTCATTTTAAGGTGAAAGCTCTGACTCAGATGTGGAGGTTTTTTTGCTGTAGAAGACAGAGAGTTGCTCCTCAGGTGCAGGGTTGTTGTGCAACAGTCTGCAACATCATGGGAATGCAGATGGAAAAAGGCTGGGAGTCGTGCTCTAGAGTCCCTGTACGCCCTGTACTTATGGACAGCACCTGACACTGCACACATTTAACATTTAACTGCCCTCCCAATGGCCCTGGGCTGGGCAGAGCTGTTGCAGACGCTTTACTAGTGAAGATCCAGGACTTGGAGAAGTGAAGTGGCTCATTCCGAGTCACACAAACAGAGCAGGGAGTCAGGGAAGGTTTTACAATGAAGCACGTTTGTCTTTGCTCCTCTCCCCATCACTCAGGGCTCGTTCCCACCCTGCATCTCAGCATCCTGCCCTGCCAAACCCACATGTCTGTCTGCCTTGAAGGGAGGTTCTCAGGGTACCACCACGCACCAAAAGATCCTCAGATCTTTCCTGACTCACCTGTTTCGCACAATATTAATGGCCAGGAGGAAAAGCCCCAAAATCATGGCCACGAAGGAAAGCGCGAGGACGGAGTAATTCCACGTTGATGCTGGGGGGGAAGCACGGAGAGGCAGCGTTAGCACACACGGGGCAGCACGGGCCGCAGAGCCCGGCGTGTTCCCTGAGGACAGCCAAGCTCAGAGTGCCAGGGCTGGGCTGCAGGGTGAGGGCAGAGGTGCTGGTGTCCAGCGCAGCACTCGGAGCACAACACCCAGGATATATTTTTGAGGGTCACCTCAGGCAGCTCTCCCTCCCTGGGCAGGAGATTGACTTACACCACTGCTTTCTGCCACTCACAGCCCCACTCCTCGGGCTCGGTACCTCTCACCCTGACCACACATGGCTTTTCTCACCCTGACCACACATGGCTTTTCTCACCAAGGGTGGGAGCACGGCTGGGAGCTGCAGTGTCCCACCACGAGTGCTGCTAGAAGGTCCCCTGCTCTCTGCAGCCTTCCTCTCCCCACTGTCACACTCGGGCAGGTAGATTTTGCCTTTGAACACCAGCTGGGGTTGGCAGCACAGATGGCAGCGGACACTCCGTCCTTGATTTCTGTGGCTTTGAAGTTGACCCTCAGGGCACTGACCTGCTCGTATCAACCTGGTCCCTCCACCCTGCCAAAATCACTGGTCATCCCAGACCTTTGCTCTCTTGGCAGGATATGCCTGGAAAGAGGCTGAGCCCTTCTCTGGGAGGAGACACTATCACAGTGAAGCCTCACACCTGTCTTCACCCATGGCCTGCTTCTTCTGGAGGTGAGACTGAGGGTTGGTACATGTGGGGTGAATCACCTCCTGGGGTAATTCATCTCCTTGAGGCAGGAGGGTTAACAGCCAAGGACTGTGTATCTCTATTTCAACTCTCAATCCAAGAACATCAATGAGACTTACGATCTTCTCTGCGGAAGAACCAGAGCAGCTCCTCCAGCTCTTCTTGATCTATTCCCAGCGCAAGGGTCGCGTTGCCTCCTGTGTGGTCATTCACCTGTACGCTGGCAAGGGCTGCAGGGAAGGACCCGTCTTGTTCTACCTCAGCTGTGGAGAGAAAGATGGAATGGTCACTCATGACAATGCTTCAGGCTGGAAATGGCCTTCTCCTCCTGGGGTTTCCCAGCACATCTCTCCAAGCAGGCAGAACAAGCTGTGAGAATCATAGAATCATAGACTGGTTTGGGTTGGAAGGGACCTTAAAGCTCATCCAGTTCCAACCCCCCTGCCATCAGCAGGGACACCTTCCACTAGACTAGGTTGAGTGTTTCTGGCTCACACTGCAGATCCCACCATGGTGGGACAATCCCATGATGGTGAGGCACCCAAGATTGGAAAGACCCCAGGACACTCCCTGTGCCTTTCCACACTCCCCATCAGCGCTGGGAGGTGGGAGGCTGCTCTCCTGGCTTG